TCTTTTGGGAGCGGTTTTGGTGTTTTAAGGATTATACAAGGCAAACTACACACAGACCCTGTTCGAACCCAGAGCTTTTCAGGGTGAAATCGCCCCCCCCCCCTCCCACCTCACCATTCCTGTGTTTATAAGCATGCGTATTGGAGAAATGGCCGATATTCAGGGCTTCCTGCGCGCATGCTGATGTCGCTTCCTGTGTGTGCTAAGGTTACCCGGCTGGTCGGCGCTGGACACAAGATGCGTCCGCTTACATCCGTGCTACGAAGTGGCCTGTTTTGAACCGTGTTCAGTGTTGGGAAGTGCTGCCTTATAAAAGCGTTCAGACACACTATCCCACGTGAAGGGAGCTGCATCAATCCAAGTCGTCGTTGCTCATCGTTTCCGACTGAATTTTCCACGATTCGGCACAAACTCTCCGGCTAAGAGCAGGTGGAATTCAGTATTTATGGGGAGAAGGCAGGAGAAATAATTTGTGCATTGAGCAGTGACCCACACCCACCGTGCAATCGCACGCGCCCCCGACAGTCGTGCTACGTAAAGAACGACAATTGGTCATTGTATACCTCAGAACGTTTTTCTTAAATCTAACCCTATTTCATACAAGAGAGAGGGGAGAGGTGACCGAAAGCGTGGTCAAAGTGGTGGGTCTTCAGACGGGACTTTGAACGCAGGGAGGGACCGAGGGAAGCAGTGAGTTGCATTCGTGAGGGATGGAGGGGAGATGGGGTCAGAAGCGAGGGTATTTGGGGAGGGTCTTGGTGGGGAGAGAAGCTTGGGTCAGTACTGTATACAGTATATATCTTAACAAAAAAAACACACACGCAATAAATCAGAAATTACGAGTAATTGCACGGGAGAGAGCTGCCGTTTACCTCTGCTGTTCCCTTTCCACCCCCCACCCCAAAAAAATAGCAGGAGTCTGGGCTGTTGGAGGTGAATCAGAGCGAGTGTAATCGCTTAGGACAGCTCGCATTAAACGCCAACAAAGGGGAACTGTGTTAGCCTCAGGAATGTTCACATTCCAGTATGGAGCGGGTTCTGCTCCCGTCTGTAACACTGCTCCATGGGAAAACATTCAAACTCCAGAGAAAGGTCCCCCTGAATTGATAAATGCTGTAATTCCTCCAGCTCCTTGCATTCCTGAGACATATGAACTAAATGATAATCCCTTTCTGGGTGGTATTGTTGGGCTAGGAGAGAGTAGAGCAGTGCTGAGGGGAGCGGGAGGGGAGGGGGCAAACGAGAAGGTGGGGGTTCATAAAGAGAGTGNTTTTTTTTCTCAGTTTGGTTTTCTACGTCTGTTTAAACGGCAAATTCTACATTAACAGTAACGCACCCCACCACTGCGTCCCACCCGAGTGATTTATTCTGCATGCTGGGAGCTATTGTGCTTGGGAAATGTGGTCATTTCCACTGCCCCATCTCCGTTACCCCCCCCCCCACCCTCTACACACATTCATTGCGAAGTGCTCCCCGATTGAAGCCATTTCTTTTCATTTCTTGTCCCAGTGCCACTTTCGTTCGATTTAACTAACAGTCCAGATTAACGGATCCATCGTTTAGCTCGCAATCAATGCAACTCCTTCTATCAAGAGGTGCTATTGACATGCAAGTTGTTGTTGTTGTCGTTCCAGCAAACAATTCCCCAAGAGACATTGATGATCGACTTTGTGGCTGTTTTGAGTCGTTGGTGTGTGCAAATCATAGAAGCAGGTAGTGTTGGGCTGTGCAAATGATGGGCCAAAAGTCAGTCAGTAAAAATTCTGTTCAGCACCCTGCCCAGTGCCTTTGGCAACGTGTGAACGTTAATGGGTGAATCCCAGCACCGATACTTGAATTCAATAGAATTTTGACCCCTGCGTTTCACAGAACAAGAGATCATGGGTTGAGGCCACAAGATGGGATTCAGATGAAGAAGCCTCATTGGCTCATCTTTCCAGAGGACCCCATTCCCTGGCGTCTGCCCATCAAATGTCCCTTTAGTGAGTCCAGCTTCCTATCCTGTACCAGCCCCTCCTAGGAATCTCTTTCGCTTGTTGGAAACGATTGGGAAATGATTGACGTGCACCGTATATTCTATACATTTCCTTACGCATCAAGCGTTGACTTCAGCCTCAGTGACATGTCTGTTGTCGTTGCCCAAAACTGAACACGTCCCACATCACAGGATGGGTATAGACCCTAGTTTTGCCCTATTCCTTTCTTTCACTAACCAGGACCACCAATAACCAACCTAATGTGTACCAGCCTCTGGACAATGAGGGTTGGTGTCTTGCTTGCACACTGGACCACCCAGGAGCTCAGATCCACAGCAGCTTGTAAGCCACTATAGACCTCAGTGGATGTCTCCCACATAAGACCACCATAGACTGAGCAAAACCTCCACTGGGCGACCAGGGACTTGGGCTTAGACCAATCTTCAGCCTTTGTTAATCAGATGCAGAAGCACTGACATACCTGTCCCCGTCGTGGACTCATTGCCGAGCTCTCACTCCACTCCAAGAGTTTTTTTTTGGTCAGCCGGGTGTCTGACACATGCAGTAACACATCTGTGCTTAAGAGTATCTAAACCAGACTGACAGTTCCACATGTGTATGCCACCGACACACTGTGTCTGGAATAAATGCTCGCTCTCCCCCTGGAGGGACGCACACTGCTTACCTAATTCCAGAGAATATTAAATGCAAGAGCCAAAGCTTGGGAACCCCAGAATGCGCGTTGGGGTAACCGCTGGAGTCTAACCAGCTAAAACCACATAACATGCCATTAGAAAGCACTATCTAGCTCGGTCTTCACTGCTTGTCCAGCTGGGACCATTCTACCTGTTAGGACTTTGGCTTAATCCCATTCTGAAAGACAAGGTGTCCACCTCCCACACTGAACTGCCAAGGATTGGGACAAGCAGTAATTATAATCCTTTCATTGAAATGACTGAAAGTGCCTGACAGGATTTTACTGTAAAGTGCAGTGACTGTGTATTTTGTGGGCAAATCAGCAGCCTATTTGCACACAGCAACGTCCCACAAATAGCCAGAAAGTGGATGACCGATTTTATCTAGGGGATTGTTGGACAGGTCACCTCTCTCCTCCCACTGGGCTCGGCTTCATGCGCCGCCAACCTCAAGCGCTCTGGGACGCTGCCCTGTGTGAGGGGCGCTACATAAATGCAAGTTGTTGTTGTTGAATTCCCCCTCTTAAAAACCTACATCTTCGATCTTCTAATCACCTCCCCACTTCTCCCCTTCCCTCGCTCGGCGTCTGACCCTGTCTTTGTAAAGCGCTTCGAGACATTAGTCTATGTGAAGTAGTGGGGGGTGGGGTGGGGGCGGCTGTATAAATCCATCAATTTACCCAAACATTGCACACGGTAAGAAATGGTAAGAAAATGGTCAAAGTACAGTATGTATACACATATATACACACATGCAAAATGTGTTTGAACGTAGAGGACCCCCCAAAAGGGGCTGAACGGTGCAGAGTTTATAAATCAACTGGTAAGGGGAGAAAGCAGTAAACTACAGCAGGTGGTGGCACCCAGAGTTATGCTTTTATATTTGTAATGGATTTGGGATTCTGTGGGGGAGCAGCGGCTGAGACAAATGTTCATTCCATCTGTGACTTGCTGGAGGTCTTAAAGCTGTTTCTCTCTCACTCTTTCTCTCACTCGCTCGTTTTCTCCAGCTTTCTTTTGCTTTGTCTCTTTCTCTCTTGCTCTCGCCCTCACACTTTTACACATTCTCTCGTTCTCTTGCTATCGCTCTCTTTCTCGCTCTCACTTTTTCTTTCTCTCGTTCCCTCTTTCTCTGGTTCTCTCTCCTCGTGCTCTCTCTATTTCTCTGGTTCTCTCTCCTCTTGCTCTCTCGGTCACTCATTATGTGTGTCTCTCTCTCTCTCTCTCTCTCTCACACTTGATCACTTTCTCACTCTCTTTCTCACTCCTTCTCGCTTTCTCTTTCTCGCCCGTCTCCCTCCCTCTTCCTTGCTCTCTCTCTATTGCTCGCGCTATTAAACATTTTACCGTCAGGACGTGCTGGGAATAGTCTGCGCCTCTGATTGGTGGCAGCTCAGATGGAGGGAACCCAAGTTTGGGCCATTCATAAAATGAAAGGCCGGCGAAAACAGCTTGTGTTTGTTTGTAACCTCGCACAATAGTATAGTAAGGCGGCTGGGCCGGGTGGGGGAGGGATGAGGGGCATACACAAGGTTTGGGCCGCTGCCAGCCTTGGCTTGGAACTGCATTCCATCTGATAAACATTTGTTAGCTTAAGGAGTGCAGAATGATCGCAGGAACTGGAAGCAAATGGACTGCGGTTTTACCTGCGATTGACAGAGAAAACCCATTACTGTTTTTTTTTCGCTCAGACTGTGTTTAAAGCTGATGTGTGTTTTGGCTCAGTGGGTAGCACTCTCGCCTCCGGGTCAGAAGGTTGTGGGTTCAAGCACCACTTTGGGCAACTCGCAATCCAGGCTGACGTTGCTGGGCTAGTGGGGCGGGGGGTGGGTGGGAGGATGGTGGTTACCTTGTCAGAGGTGTCGCCCTTATGTTGAGACGTTAAACCAAGGTCCTTGCTGTGCCTGTTCAGGTGGATGTTAAACATCTCATGGCATTAGTCAAAAAGAGAAAGGAGTTTCTCGCGGCGATAGATAAAATTGGTTCTTCATGTGGCAGTTTGTGGGATGTTGTGTTTACATACTGGCTGTCAGGTTCACCTACAAACACACAGTCACTACACTTTACAGTCATAATAATAATCCTTGCATTTGATACTGTGCCTTATCAGGTCATTGAGACGTCTCAAAGGCTTCAGGGGATACACTGCAAAGTGGATTGACTGTGTATTTTGTGGGCAAAACGCGATGGCCAGTTTGCCCACGGCAATGTCCCACAAATAGCCGTGGAGTGAGCCACCAATTTTATTTGGGGAATTGTTGGACAGAGAATAAAATGCAGTGATGAAGTAAACTGATGGTCCCAGACTAATTCTTCTTTGTTTTAACAGCCTCAACGACCAGCACAAGAAGAGGAGAAGACCGCTCAGGTAAGGCTGGTGTTGCACTTCGAATCACTAAAAGCCCCAAATTCCACCTGGTCTTAGCCATGTCATCTTCAATTTATGGTGGCACAGGACTACAGAAAAAATCCTTAAACCGGGTGTGAATCTGGATGCTGCCTCCCCCTCCCCCCCGACTCGTCCCCGCAGCTCTTAAAAAAGAAACCGGCTTCCAAATTAAGACAAGGGGTTTTGGAATTATTCCAGATTCCTGCGCATCCGACCGCTCGGTCTCGCAATCCCTACACTGAACTGCTGTAAAGCAGTGCTCCAATGCAGTGCTGGGGGCGAGCGCAGCATTGTTGGAGGTGCCGTCCTTCAGCTGAGATGTTAAGCAAACGTCCCGTCAAAGGCTGTTCAGGTGGCGCTTTTCAAAGAGAGAAGGTAGATTCTCTCTCTCCTCCTGTCCTGGCCAACAATCCTCCAAATAAAATCACTCACTTCAGAGCTGTTTGTGGGACATTGCAGTGCGCAAATTAGCTGTTTGTCTACAAATACAAAGTCACTCCACTTTACAGGATATCCTGTAAAGCACTTAGGGACATCCTGCTGTGAAAAGCGCTGTGTGAAATGTATGGATCATTATTATTATTATTATTATTAAACCACAAATCGTTGCAATGGTAAAAACCCAATTTAAAGAGAAATAGGGGGAAAAACACTTTGAGGTGCAGCTTGTGGCTTATGGTGACCGCTTTGGTTTACTGGGTTTCTATAAATCATTTTTTTTAAGGCACCGTTGAACTGCATTTGTCTTTTCATGTGTTCTTTATTTAGATTAATTCATGCCAGATGGGAAACGCCATTAATTGTGCAAGGAGAGAGAGAGAGGGAGGGGCAGAGAGAAATAGCTGCATAAACTCAGTGATCAATTTTGACCAACTTTATCCGGGTGGGAAGGGAGGGAGGGAGGGGAGGAGTGGGGAGAGGGGGAGTTGTCGGCCAGTACAGCTGGAAGAAACTCCCGTCTCCTTTCCAATAGTGCTGCGAGGCCTTTGATGTGCATCTGAGCGGGCACGGGAGGGGGCATTAGTGTCTTGTTTGAAGGACAGTGTCTCCGTTATACAGCACTCCCCAAGTGCAAAGGTGCCTGCACATTTGAGAGTCAAAAGATCATCGGGCATGCTCGCAGTTCGCTGCATTACGCACACAGCCTAGCATTTGGGATACCATGGGTTAGACAGGAGGTAAAGCTCTGTGCTAGAGAATGGCTGAGCTCCCGAGCAAATAGTAGAACGGCGAGTGAGCTAACAGTGTAACATCTCTGTTCCCTGCCCCCCCCCCCCCCTCCCCTCGCCCACCCATCCGCCTGCCATTGATGGCGGCCAGATTAATATCAACAAACACCTCGTCGCTGAATGTTCCATGGTTACACCCACTGGGGTCAAGACGAATGCCCTCCACACATGAGCATTGACAGATACGAAGGCGGGGAGCTTTCATTGCACCAGGTGGGAGTGAATCGTAACCTCCAAGTGCTGCTCACTCCCTGTTATCAGCTATTCAGCACTTTTGGGCAATCTTATCTCCGTTGGGAGGCAGACTGCAGACATCTGGGCGATATGGCATTTCAACACTAAGTTTTATTCTCCCATTGAAACGTCTTCACTCATTTGACTTCTGGACCTCGCAGGCTGTTAGACTGTATGCTGGTTGTACAGCGCTCCTGAGATAATCCCTCTCATAAGACCTTAAGAGGGGGGAACTCTTAAAGACATCCTCCCCTCTCCTCCCCACCACCCCCCACCCAGTGAAAAGAGTCAGTCTCGCTCAGTCCTTGTAAATTCTGAAATGATTTATTTTATGAGTCTCACGGCGGTCTCCTCCATTGTATATCATCAGCTGTCAATCGCCTCTGAGTGAGAAGGTTGTGGGTCTTTGAACTCACAGTCTAGGCTGACACTCCAGTGATGCTGGGGGTGTTGCGCTATTGGAGATGCCGTCGTTCAGATGAGACGATAAACTGAGGTCCTGTTCAGATGGACGTTAAAATCCCACGGCACTACTCGGAAAAGGAAGGGAGTTTCTCCGAGTAACCTGGCCAAAAAAACCCAAATAAAATCAGTCGTTCACTTCATGGCTGTTTGTGGGATGTTACTGTGCAAATTTGGTGATGTGTTTTCCCACAAAACACACAGTCACTACACTTTACAGCAAATCCTGCAAAGTGTTATGGGACGTCCTCCCGACGTGAAAGGCGCTGTATCCAATGTAAGGATTATTATTATTGTCATTTCTGCCCATTTCCTCTGCTCCACCAACTCTAATCTTCATGTCCTCTGCCCACTCTACTCCATCCATTCCCTCTCCTCTTTTCCCCTCGCCAACCCAGGAAGGAACTTCACTCAAAGTTTCGTTCAGTCAAACCTCACTGGCAGGTTAACAGAGAATTCCACACCAGAAGACCTCGAACTCTAACTGAATGTAATAACGGTGGGAGCCTCTGTTTTCAATCATTAAGCTATAAAGTGAATACAATTTCCTCTAGGCTTCATTGCTTTGAATTGCTTCGCGTACTGACAGGAAGTTAATTGTTTGGTGCTGGGGGGAGGGGGGAGACAGAGAACAAGGGCTCCTGTTAATAAGACACCAAATCAGTGGGGTCCAACACACGTGCTCTCACTTCACAGCCATTTGTGGGATGTCGCTGTGCGCAAATTGGCTGCTACGTTCGTCTACAAAACAAACAGCTACTACACTTGAGTCAATCCTGTGAAGCACATTGAGAGGTTCTACCGATGTGAAAGGCGATGTATAGAATCCAAGGATTATTAGGAATATGTTTGATTTCTTCATAATAACCTTATCTTTTGATACAGCGCCTTATCGTGTCATCGAGACATCTCAAAGCGCTTCACAGGATTTTACTGCAAATGATTGCGACAATGTTTGTAGGCAGCCAATTTGTGCACAACAACGTCCCACAAGCAGCTATGAAGTGAATGACTGTTTTTATCTGGGAGGATAGTCGGCCAGGACACCAGGAGAAACTCCCTTTCCTTCAGCCCTTTAATTTTTTAAAGAATTACTGATTTGTAACCAGAAGTGTATTATCTAAAAGTTAAATTCCTACTTAATTCCTTATCCTGATGTTTTTCCTAGTCAAATTAAGGCCAGACAATCTGTCACAGGTTGTAACTGTGATTTTTTGGGGGTCAGCCGGATGACCGAAGCCACTGTCAGAGGAAGGTTTTGAGACGGGCCTTGAACGAGGCAAGAACAACTTGCATTTATTAGCGTCCCTCACGGCAGAAAGGGGTCGAGGTGAAGGGACTCTGGGATGGAGTTCCAGAGGGTGGGGGCAGAAAGGCTGAAGGCCCGACCACTGATGGTGGAGTGGGCAGGGCGGGAGACATGGACCAAAGGCCACACAACCTTTAACGTCCATCTGAATAGGCACTGGAGGGACCTGGGCTTAACATCTCATCCGATGGACGGCACCTCTGACAATGCATCACTCCCCCAGCACTGCGCTGGAGAGTCAGCCTGGATTGTGAGCCCAACGTGTGGCTTGAGCCCACAACCTTCTAACTCAGAGTGAGGGTGTGACTGACTGAGCCAGGCTTCTGGGCACAAGGTTTCTGGCCCATGTGGGATACACTCCCCTCTTATCCCCACACCCCCATCAATAATTTCAACTGGTGGGTGCATAGGCATCTCCAATGCTCTTTGCCTTGACAATTGCCGGATTAGCAAAGGTTTCATGGCTCTGGAAAGCCTTGATATCATTGGTTTCTCTGGAGACAGCACCATCTAGCGGCCTGGCTGGGAACCCTCACCCTCCACACTGCAACAGTTGACCAGCTCCCGTTTGTCACTCTGTCCATACGCACCTCCTTCCTGGGTAGCTTTGGGGGCAAACCCAGGTCCATTGTGTGATGGAGCACCGAGCTGCACAGACCCAGGGTGTGTGACGTTCACTCTTTGACCTGTGTCGAGATGAGCTTCAATGGGATTGAGAAGTAAACCCAGAGCAATACTTTAGGATGTGCACCGAGACAGCAGAACAAGAGGACACAGGTTTAGAGTTGCAGTTTCAGATCAGACACTGGGAAGTATTTCTTTACCCAGAGAGGAATTGATTACTGTTTTTTTGGTCATCTCGATTTTCTGACATCTGCAGAAACCCATCACCATATCTAAGTTTATCCAAACCGGGCAACTGGAATAGGTCACCAGAAAAGGAGTCTAAGGCCAGGACACTAGACTCATTTTAAAAAAAGTAACAATAAGCTCTATATGTGATACAGTGCCGATGCCTGCATAAACATCTCAAAGTTCTCACAGTCATTGCTGCATAGGGTCATGACTGTATTTTAAGGTGACTTCACAGTCAATTTGCGTACAGCAATGTTCTACAGATAGTCCTGAGGCGAATGACCAATTTAATTTGGGGGATTGTCAGCCAGGACACGAGGTGAAATTCCCTTGTCTTCTCAAATAGCGCCACAGAATCTTTAACATCCACCTGAACAGGCATAGACAGGACCTCAGTTTAACATCTCATTCGAAGAACGACACCTTTAACAACACAACGCTCCCCTCAGCACTGCACTAGAATTTTAATAATAATAATACTAATAATCTTTACATTTGATATAGCGCCTAATCACATAGTTGAGACATCTGAAATATATTCACAGAATATATTCACTTTACAGTATATTCCGTGAATCGCTTTGAAGTCTAGAAGTCGTGATAACAACAACAACACGATTACATTTGTATAACGCCTTTCACGTCGGGAGGACGTCCCAAGGCGCTGATAAGGCGCTGATAAGGCACTATAAGGCGCTATATCAAATGCAATGGATTATTATTATATTGTAAAATTAATTGACTATGTATTTTGTGGATGAAACGCGGCAGCCAATTGTGTACAGCAGTGTCCCACAAGCAGTTGTGGATTGAGTGACATATATATATATATATATGTAAATTTTTGGAGGGATTATTATCTCCGGAAAGTGATCCGCA